CGGTGTTCCCTTATCCATTATCTTGGACGAAGATAGTAGATTCACTTCAAGGTTCTGGCAGTCGCTACAAAGTTCCTTAGGAACTAGGCTGGACATGAGTACAACCTACCATCCACACACCGATGGGCAAAGTTAGAGAACTATCCAAACCTTGGAGGATATGTTGCGAGCATGTGTGATCGACTTTGTGAAAGCATGGGATACTCATTTACCCCTTGTCGAATTTTCCTACAACAACAGTTATCACACGAGCATAAAGGTTGCTCCATTCGAGGCCTTCTATGGCCGAAAATGCAGATCCCCACAACCACAACTGCCAGCGCTACTGCCACCACCACCACTTCTGACACCATCTGACCAAACCACTACCATATTCGTCACTTATACCATCGTCACCTCTATTAGAATCAGCTTTTTTGCGACTAACTGTTATAATTATATATGGTTGCTCAGAACAGACATATATGTATAATCATTTATGATTACGCATACACTGTTTTTGTCGGTACATTGAATCGTTAGAGCGGCAAATAAAAATATATGACTTACGTTGAATCACAAGGCCTCTATTTTTTTTTTAATCTCAAGTGAATCGTCACACACACACACACACACACACACATATATATATATATATATATATATATATATATATATATATATATATATATGTATATATATGTATGTATGTATATATATATATATATGTATATGTATATATATATATATATATATGTATATGTATATATATATGTATATATATATATATATATATATATATATATATATATATATATATATATATATAAGATCAAATGAGAACACCATACAGGTTGAAAACACGAGAACAAAGTATATTCATTTGTGATTCTATGTCTTCATTTGGGGTGAAATGATAAATTTTTACGCCTTTAATTTCAATTGAAGAGAAAAAGCATAATCATGTTGACTGTGCGTAAAAATTTATTATTTCTCCACAAATGAATACATGAAATCACAAATGAATATACTTGTTCTCGCGTTCTCAACATTTTAGGTGTTCTCATTTGATCATTACCCTATATATATATATATATATATATATATATATATATATATATATATATATATATATATATATATATATATATATATATATATATATATATACGGTTAGGTTCATGTGAGACGGCCTAATTTTATGAGACTGTGAGATGCATTTTTAATTTTTTTTATTTAGTTTTTAATTTTTTTAAGTTAATTCAAATTCTGAAAATAATATTTAAAAAAAGGATTTTTTGATTTTTCCATTTATTTTGCATTTTAAATTATATTTAGAATATGTAAAGTGTAATATTCTATTTAGAATACTTCACGTATTTTTCAAAAAAAATAGGATTTTTTTTTTATTTTTTCTACTTTTTTTAGTTAATTCAAGTTCCGAAAATAATATTTAAGGAAAAAAATTTTAGATTTTTCAATTTATTTTGCATTTTAAAAATATTCTATTTAGAATACTTCACGTATTTTTCAAAAAAAATAGGATTTTTTTTTTATTTTTTCTACTTTTTTTAGTTAATTCAAGTTCCGAAAATAATATTTAAGGAAAGAATTTTTAGATTTTTCAATTTATTTTGCATTTTAAAAATATTTTTTAGAATATGTCAGTGTAATATTCTATTTAGAATATTTCACGTATTTTTTAAAAAAAAAAACGGGATTTTTTTTTATTTTTTTTAGTTAATTCAAGTTCCGAAAATAATATTTAAAAAAAGAATTTTTGGATTTTTCCATTTATTTAGCGTTTTAAAATTATTTTTAGATTTGGTTTTACGGTCTCACAAAATTAGAATGGTCGCAAAATCATATATGGTTGCTCATAACAGACATATATGTATAATCATATATGATTACGCATACACTGTTTTTGTCGGTATATTGAATCGTTAAAGCGGCAAATAAAAATATATGACTTATGTTGAATCTCAAGATCTCTATTTTTTTTAATCTCAAGTGAATCGTCACACACACACACACACACACACACACACATATATATATATATATATATATATATATATATATATATATATATATATATATATATATATATATATATATAAGATCAAATGAGAACACCATAAATATTGAAAACGCGAGAACCAAGTATATTAATTTGTGATTCTATATATTTCAGGTTCATTTGATACCATTCTAATTGTTGAAACCGTGAGACCAAATCTAAAAATAATTTTAAAATGCAAAATAAATGGAAAAAATCCAAAAATTCTTTTTTTAAATATTATTTTCGGAATTTCAATTAACTAAAAAAATAAAAAAATTTAAAATAAAAAATAAAAAATATCCCCCTTTTTTTTAAATGCGTGAAATATTTTAATAGAATATTACACTTACATATTCTAAAAAAAAAAATTTAATGCAAAATAAATGGAAAAAGCTAAAAATTCTTTTTTTAAATATTATTTTTGGAACTTGAATTAACCAAAAAAAATAAAAAAAATAAATAAATAAATAAAAATTCCAATTTTTTTTAAAGCACGTGAAATATTCTAATAGAATATTACGATGTACATATTCTAAAAAATAATTTTAAAATGCAAAATAAATGAAAAAAATCCAAAATTTCTTTTTTTAAATATTATTTTCGGAACTTGAGTTAACTAAAAAAAATAAAAATAAAATTAAAAAAATTAAAAAAAAATGCGTCTCACGGTCTCACAAAATTAGGTCGTCTCAAATAAACCTATCTCTCTCTCTCTCTTTCTCTCTCTCTCTCTCTATATATATATATATATATATATATATATATATATATATATATATATATATATATATATATATATATATATATATATTCAGGTTCATTTGAGACCATTCTAATTTTGTGAGATCGTGAGACCAAATCTAAAAATAATTTTAAAATACAAAACAAATGGAAAAATTCAAAAATTCGTTTTTTAAATATTATTTTCGGAACATTCAACTAAAAAAAATAAAAAAAAATCTTGTTTTTTTTTTTAAATACATGAAATATTATAATAGAATATTACACTAACATATTCTAAAAAATAATTTTAAAATGCAAAATAAATGGAAAAATCTAAAAATTCTTTTTTTAAATATTATTTTCGGAATTTGAATTAACCAAAAAAAATAAAAAACAAATAAAATAAAATAAAATAAAATCCCGTTTTTTTAAATACGTGAAATATTCTAATAGAATATTATACTGTTCATATTCTAAAAACTAATTTTAAAATTCAAAATAAATAGAAAAATCCAAAAAATTCTTTTTTTAAATATTAATTTCGGAACTTGAATTAACTAAAAAAAATTAATTTTCTTTTAAAAAAAAATAAATAAAAAAATACGTCGCACGGTCTCACAAAATTAGACCGTCTCATATGAACTTAACCCTATATATATATATATATATATATATATATATATATATATATATATATATATATATATATATATATATATATATATATATATATATATATATATATGTTTAGGTTAATTTAAGACCATTCTAATTTTGTGAGACCGTGAGACCAAATGTAAAAATAATTTTAAAATGCAAAATAAATGGAAAAATCCAAAAATTCTTTTTTTAAATATTATTTTCGGAACTTGAATTAACTAAAAAAAATATAAAAAAAATATAAAAAAAATTAAAAAAAATTAAAAAAAATTCCGTTTTTTTTTGAAAAATATGTGAAATATTCTAAATAGGATATTACACTGACATATTCTAAAAAATAATTTTAAAATGCAAAATAAATGGAAAAATCTAAAAATTCTTTTTAAATATTATTTTCGGAACTTGAATTAACTAAAAAAATATAAAAAAATATAAAAAAAATTCTATTTTTTTTTTGAAAAATACGTGAAATATTCTAAATAGAATATTACACTGTACATATTCTAAAAATAATTTTAAAATGCAAAATAAATGGAAAAATAAAAAAAAAATCTTTTTTTAAATATTATTTTCGGAACATGAATTAACTAAAAAAAATTTTAAAAAAATAAAAAAATGCGTCTCACGATCTGACAAAATATATGTGGTCTCAAATGAACCTAATCTTTTATATATATATATATATATATATATATATTATATATATATATATATATATATATATATATATATATATATATATATATATATATATATATATATATATATATATATATATATATATATATATATATATATATATATATATATATAAGTGCACTACTAAAAAAAATTATGCAACTTCTAGATTTAATGAAAAATGAAAACTAATTAAAAATATCAAAAAAATTATCTTAGTATCTTTCATCTTAGTATCTTTTAAGAGGTGAAACTTGTTATTTTGAATGAAATCGTTATTAAAAAAATTATCTTAGCATCTTTTGTTGAGAATTTTATTTTGTATTATCTCTTGCAAAGCTTTTGCCACTGCACAACAACTTTTTTTGGGATGCTCCGTAAAATTTCTTCATAATTAACAACTGATCCAGATACAAAGATAACCAAGAAAGTTGGTTACAAAACATTATGGGTTGTCTTACCAGCATTGGAATACACTGAAGATTACATCAGTTTTTATTTTTGATTTACATTTACAATCATACATATATAGATGCATTTGTACCTAACGGATTAAAAGAAAGTCTACTTATATTTTCTGTAAAATTAAGTGAGCTCCAAACTGGGGTGGAATAGTGAACACACAAAATGGAGAATGTATATAAGATGAAGAAAGCTTGAAGGAAAAGCTTTGAAGAAGTTTTGCTATGGCTACTTTTGCTTCAATCAGGGCAAAGTTTTGCCCTATGCAAATCCGAGGTCCACCAGTAAATGGCAAAAAAGCACCCGATCCTCTTCCTTTGGTCGCATTCAATACTCCATCTAAGAACCTTTGGGGTTTGAACTCGGTTGCATCTTCTCCCCATATTTCACGATCATGATGAACATGGATTATAGGTATCGTTATGTGCACACCTTAAGGTATCATCATGTCTCCTAGCTTCGTCTCCTTCACAGTAGCTCGTATCACCATGACTGCAGGTGGGTATAGCCTAAGAACCTCGTTTAGTATCATGGTTATAATCTTGAGATGCTTTAGGCCTTCGAAATGCAGCTCTCCTGTACCAAAGACTTGTAAAATCTCTTGTCGAGCTTTAATCTGCCATTCTTGATGCAAACTTAAACAAACCATGGTCCAGACTATCAAATTTGAGGTTGTTTCGGATCCAGCGATGTAAAATAGCTTGCATTCTTCGATCACCTCATCCATACTCATTCCAACTTCCCCTTCTTTGATTTTTTTTGAATTCGATTCCAGCAAAATTCCAAGTAAGTCATCGTAGCAAATTTCTCCCATCTCGAATGTTTCCTTCCTCTTGTGTATTATACCCCTCACTAGAGCTTGAAGCTTCTTGCGATTTTCGTTGAACTTCTTGTTTGCTTTTGTAGGTATAAATCTATTTTTTTTGGGAATGTAAGTCCTTTTAGAAATATTTTTATAATAAATAAGACAACTTTAAATCAATTTGTAAAAATGGTGTTTGAAGAAAAAAACATGATTGCCACCCACAAGTTGGCCTGCTACGGAAGATTTTTTTACAACCCCATTTTTACAGAATAAGTTAAAGAGTAATTAGAGAAAAGTCTTTCACATTCCTGTTTTACTAACTATTCACCGGATGGATGCTAGATTTCATAATAAGTGTTGCGGATGGTATAATTTTTGTTACGTAGTGTATCTAAGTGTAGCAGTTTTGATCTATACTCAGTATCATTTTTTCATTTCACTTTAGTCGTGACCAAAAACTCGATATTATAAAAGTAGGGATGTAATGTTTTGAAAAAAAATAAAAGTTAACCTACTAGCCTATCCAATCAACGACTTCACGTATAATTTTTTTTTTTTTTTAGTTTTTGTTTTTCGACATCACTTTTCTACTAACTTTATCAAATACGGAGTAAGATGTATTAACAATGCTCTAAAAAATTTGCCAATGATTTTACCAATGCGTGTCTTCGCTCTTAAGCTCGCATCTAACTCTAACTCATAAAAAACGCCCTCTTAAATCATTTAAATTTATATATAGCAATCATTTATTTATTTATTTATTTATGTATTCAACTGTCCAAAATCAGTTAATTTGTGTTGGGCTTAGTGAATTGGGCCTTTTATGTGTGGGCTTAGTCGAGGTCGTACACATGGTCTAAGGCTGGTGTACACGGGGCGTAGATGGATCATTTGGGACGCGAAGGCATGCACGTACCCGCTGCGTACAAGGTGGTATGCTCAGCGTACATGATCAGATTCAAAACCCTATTTCTAGGGTTCAAGCCCTACATAATGTCATTAAGTCCCAAGTGTTAGCCTCTATTGCTCAAAAACCCTAATAACGAACCCTATAGCCTCTTGGTGTCTTCTTGACCTTGTGGAGTGTATTTTTGGTAGTTTGGTGCCTTGAAAGGAACAAGACTAAGAAGTTGGTGAATAAGTGTTGTGGAGCTTGAGCTTGAAGATCTATGTTATCATCATCATTTGGCACTCAGTAGAGATATAAAGCTCTGAACTTGTTGTGCTATAGTTTAGATCTCCTTTATTCGAGCTTTTGGACCCTTTTTGGTCCCATAGATGAGATCTTGTGGATTAGTATCGTTTCTGAAGCTTAGAGTTGCTAGTCTTGGTGTTCTTTTGGTCCTAGAGTCATAAAGTTGCCATCTTTGAAGCTTAGAACTATCCATGCTTGAGTTTGAGTTCATTTAATGGAAGTTGAGTGTTATATTTCGAGTTTGGGTTCATTTGGGGCATGCAAAGCCACCAAGTTAATGACTTTATGGTTTAAAATTTTGCATATGACTCAGATTTGTGATTGGGACCTTTGGACTTGAGTAATTAAGAGCTTAATGGAGAAATGGTTGAATGGGTGAGTACGTTGGGTGTACAAACTCCTACACTCAGCGTACAAGCCACACATCGTGTATGCTTTGCGTACAGTTAAGTATGCCCCCACATACTTAGTGATTGGGCTTTACGTCTTTTGGGCCACAAATGGGCTACTTCGTTGGACATTGTTGTTTTACGCATTAATGGGCCATATAAAATCGAGTCTTTGGACTGAGGAAAATTTATTGAGCCTCGGGGTAAGGCCCATGATGGGGGTTTGGGCTAATTTGAAAAATTGGGCCACAAATGGGCTTTGAAGGAACAAGTGGTTTTGGGCCTTGGTCTTGGATCATATTAGGTCAAGGGTAAAATGGTGATTTTACCCCGAGAATGGATTTGTGAATATAGAACGGAACCCAAGTGTTAATTAGGTGTTATTTCGTTTTGTTAGCTCGAGGAGTCGTCTGGGCAGTGGTTAGGGATTTATTTCAGTGAGAGTCAACATTCGAGGTGAGTATCCTCATTGAGTTTAACGGGTCTAAGGCATCAAAGCTGACCTTGGATTGGTTATGTTTGTATACTTGTTATCTTTGTGATACTTGTTGTGACTGTATATGTATGTTATTTTTGGCGGGGCCCATTATACGAGTGTGGGTCGGGCTCGTATCTCATTGGGTGGGGCCCGTTATGCGAGTGTGGACAAGGTTCGTATCTCATTGGGTGGGGCTCGTTATATGATATGTATGGTATGCAGTATCTTGGAGGAACTCACTAAGCTTTGTGCTTACGGTTTTTAGTTTATGTTTCAGGTACTTCCGGTAACAAGGGGAAGAGCTCAGGTTGACTGCATCGCACACACCATATGAATTCTGTCTATGGGAATACTCTAATTCTTATGATGTTTGACATACTATATTATTGGTTATATGAACAATGTTTTGGGAATGCTGTTTTTACTTAAATAAAAATTGTAATTTTTGGGTCATGTTTTAAGGATGTTTCAAGTTGGTATCAGAGCTTTGGTTTGAGGGATTCAGACAGACTCTCAGGTGTGTCTGAACTCAAACTGAGGATTTGGTAAGAGTTTTCCAAAAGAAAAATAAATTCTAAGAGAGAGTCTTCTAAAATATGGAAAGGTGTGGTGCATGTAATCGCCGAGCTAAAGTAAGTTATCCTAAAATAACCATATATGTTTTATGATATGCTTCGAATTGTGAGTATGTGAATCGCATGCTAGATTAGGGCTAAGGATCTAGGAGAGATGCATTTGTATGCCTGATGTATGAGCTTGTAGACTTGCATGCTAGTACTGATCCGTTAGTGATAGGATGGTCTGATTAGATTATGCTTGGTTCTGTTACTTGATAATCGAATGCTGCTAACATTGTGCTTTTAGGAGTTCTAACTAGCTTCAGCTAACTACGAAACAAATATGCTAAGTTACATATTATGGGAACAAAATAGTTTTAGAGAGTTAGGTTTTAACACTATTGCGCAACTCTTGTTTGAGTCAAACCATTGTAGTGTGAGACCTCTCATTCGGAGAATTATCTAGTTTTTGTAATGTGTAATAGTGTTTGTGGGCTAGTTAGAGGAAGTTAGCGGTAAGTTCCTTCTATAACTAATGACGGAGAGTGGTGTGGAGTTTTCCCTAGGAAAACCTAGGATGAGATCTAGTGTTGGGAGCCTTATATGTGGGGGAGATTGTTTGGGATATAAAGTAACTTGGTTGAGTTAAGGCATTTCTGGAGGAAAGTCCTTATAGATGTTGAAGGTAGCATGGGCCCGTACAACTATAAGCATAGGATCCGTACTCAACTTAAGGAGGGCTATGATGAAGCAAGGAAGCTTTTAGAGTT